CTCTTCTCTTGTTTTCTTGTCTAGCTGGAGACCTCGGCTCGCCACGCCGGGCCCTGCCAGAGTTGTGAGTGGAGAAAGAGGGTGGGAGGCGAGGTCGATATAGTGGCCGGAGCGGACGGTGCCGATGGTGAACCGGCCTACAAGGTTGGCTTTCTTTTAGATCTCTTCCCACGAGTGTTTATCGAACTCCTGTGTGCAGTCCTCAACTCCGGGCCTCGAGGATCTGGCCCCCAGGGTGGACTGAGCACAGTTACCGAGCTGGAAGGGAGAATATTGAGAGGTTATGGCTGATGGTAGAGACGTGGAGTAGGCGTTCTTTCAGTACCTTGTGCTTCTCCGCAGGCACCGCGTCTCAAATGTGCTTTTATATGTCGAGAGTCTTTGAAGGTTGCCGAAACGGCCTCTGTTCTAGATGTAACTAATTGTTTTTCTCCTCTCTCTGGCTGTCGGACGCACGCCTTTCCGGAGGACGGGGAGGTGACCAAGGTCCTGGGCTGGTACCTGCACTTGAGAGAACAGAGAACCTCACCTTTGCTTTCTAGCACTCGACCACAGCCAGCAAAGTGTTTGCTTACACTATGGTTACAATTTGTAGACTGCTTAGAAATACCGGGTTATTATTTTTATTATTAGAAATACCGGGTTATGCTTGCTTCATAAAAGTACTTTCTGACAGGTTAGGGTGGCGGTGCCCAAGTGGAATCTTTGCCACTGGTACCAACCCAAACTGAAATGTTAAAGCACATACCAGAATTAAATAGCTTAGTATGGAAAAACACAAGTATTTAGTACTTTTATATTGGCTATGCTAGAAAGGTAATTTTTGTTGTCTTATTAAAAACTAATTTTGGGACCCACACACTACTTTTAATCCTAGCACTCGGGTGTCATGTCTCTTGAATTTGAAGGCTGCATAATGAGACTCTGTCTCAAGGAAGAAAAAAATATTAATTTTGGACTGTTAGTCTGTGTCAGTAGTAGAGTCCTTGTTGAGTGTACCAGGCTCTGAGGGTTTTTGCTTTGTCCTTTGTTTTTGTGTTTTATTTTGTTTTGTTTTGGAAACAGTGTGTCCTGGAACTAGCTAGCTCTGTAGACCAGGCTAGCCTCAAACTCAAGAGATCGCTCCTGCCTCTGCCTCCCGAGTGCTGGGTTTAAAGACGTGGGCCACTATTCCCCAGATCATTTGTTTGTTTCTTGAAGCAGCGACTCTCAATGTAGACCAGGGTAGTAGCCTCCACAGAGATCCACCTGCCTCGGCCTCCCAAGTGCTGGGGTTAAAGGTGTGTACCGCCATTGCCCAGCCCTACAAGAAAAGTTTTATGCTAGTTTTGATGTGGCCGCAAGGAAATTGGAGGTTGTGTTCATGGCTCACATTCTTACTGAGTAGTCCTGCTCTATGTGATCTCTCCCAAAACTAGTCGTAAGGTGAGCTGTTGCGGACTTGATTAAGCATTCAGAAGTCAGGTGTGATGAGGTAAGAGAGGGTGTGGGTGTGGTTTCCAGACGTGAAGAAACAGCCCTTTGACTGTCACTTATTGCTGAACTTGAAGTTTTAGCTGGGTGCCTTGTCGGATTCACGGCTGATCTAGCCGAGGTCGGGAGAGGTGAAGCTCTCTAGTCATGACTCGGTTGATGGGATGCTTTTGCCTACTGTGCATGAGGTCCTGGTCTCAGTTTCCAGCCCCATATAGAAAACCTATAATCCCAGGTGGAAGCAAGAGAGTCAACAGTCAGACTTTCCTGCATAGAACATTTGAAGCTATCCTCGGCTAGATTATAAAATAATCCTTTAATCCTGCACTCAGTAGGCCAAGGCCGACCTGGTCTACATAGGCAGTTCCAGGACATCTAGGGCTACATAATAGAGAGTCCTGTCTCTAGAAAACAAAAAATTTATAAAACTAACAGTGAGTACCAGCAAGGTGTAGTGGCACGCGCCTTTAATTCCAGAACTCGGGAAGCAGAAGAAGGAAGAGTGCAAGGCAAGCCTGGTCTCTAGTTCCAGGACAGCCAGAGCTATGTAATAGACAGATCCTGTCTCAGTAAAGAAAATGGTTAAGAATGAGTGCCATGACCGAGATGACAGTAGTGAAGCACAAAGTCAAATACAGGCACGCTTGCTTACTCCAGACCATGGGTTGCTGTGTTCCCTGGTGGGTGTCTATAGCATGTTTTAGGGCAAGCTGCTTGAAAAGATTTTATAGCCCTGGAAAGAAGCTGTGTGGGTAATCATTTACCGTGTTCCATTTGTCTGTTCAGAGGCAAGGACAGACAAATGTCCTTCTTTTTTGGGTTAGAATATTTATTCAGCAGCATTTAGAAGTGCCCTGTCTCTGAAATCAAACACCAATCGTGTGTTCTTTCTCTTGTGGTTACAGTTGAAGAAAGGAGACCTTTGCTTGTATTTTGCTCCCTAAGAAGAGAGCATAGGAAGCAGTTTCTAATTTTAGTTATTGTGTTATTTAGCATATTGCTAAACCTTTAAACAACCTGTAAGATCTCACCCCATTCCAAGTTTCAAGGTGCAGAAAGATTCAGTATTTGTGCCTACCTGACTGCTGCTGCCTAGATCCAGCAGGTCACATTTTCCCACATTTGCTTTATATTTACCCACCTGAGAGTCTTACTTTTTCTTGCCCCCTTCTCCCCTCCCCCCACACGCATACCCCATATCTGTGTAGCTCTCCTGGCTGTCCTAGAACTAGCCCTGTAGAACATGCTGGCCTTGATCTCTTCACCGCCTTTGTCTCCCAAGTGCTGGCATTAAATATGTGTGCCACCACAGCCTGATTTTAGGACCCTTTTTTATGCTCTTCTGTAATGTTTTGTCCATTTGTGTTGAATATTTAATGTTTTGGTGCTTGTCATCCTCAAAATGACCTAATCATCACTCAGTGTATCCACAAAGGAAATTATAGCAATAAGACAAATCTGAGCATGGCAGTTGATCTAGCAATTGGGGTTTTCTCCTCCGAAGCCATTGTGGTATCTAGTATTTTTTGAAAGCCACCAAACTTACCAGTGAACTCAAGTGTTGTGCATGCTATGAAATAATATTGATAGGTACAATTACCATTCACATTTCTTTAGTGAAAACAATGAAGAATCTTAATATTCCTGTATGTTAGGCGTGTAATAAATTTTGTAAATTTTTTTCCTATTAAAAAAACAACTAAGGAGGCCATTCCATTTGTGCCTCTTATGGAGGTAGAAAAAAAACCTCATGAGGAAATAAGGACTGTCCTCTGAGTGTCCAGGCTGTGTGGACACTTGCTGTTTTCTGTGTTCCCTTGCTCTCTTCTTGTGTGCTCAACTTTTTGTTGCAAAGTAGATTTGTTGCCTTGTCAATTCGTTTACTCTATTTAAATCCTTTTATCTTGTTACTAGGCTGCTCTTTGGCGTAAATTGCAATCGATTAGGGATCGTTTCTCAGACTCGAGTTAGAAGTGAGAGTTCAGATAAGTGAGGCCGACTTTGCTGCTTTGAACACCTCAGAAGGGGAGAATGGATTTATCAGGAGTGAAAAAGAAGAGCTTGCTAGGAGTCAAAGAAAATAATAAAAAGTCCAGCACTAGGTAATCCTTCTGTAAGATTTTTCTAGTGCTATTTTGGGGGTGCTTGCTGTTTTAGGGACTCTCAGAGAGGGGAGATTTTGAGTTCTACAGTGAGTGTCCTAACCCTCGGATAGTTTTGCTCTGTGATCACCTGGGGTCTTAGTAGTCCCTCTCTGGACCCACTGCTGGGTTGTACTATTCCAGGGCTTGGTCAGGGGAGCTTGCAACCTCACATTCTTCCTCACCATGCAGGGCTCCTTCTCCTACCAAACGCAAGGACCGCTCTGACGAGAAGTCCAAGGATCGCTCTAAAGATAAAGGGGCCACTAAAGAGTCGAGTGAGAAGGATCGTGGCAGGGATAAGACTCGGAAGAGACGCAGTGCTTCAAGTGGAAGCAGCAGCACCAGGTGGGGCAGAGGGGCCACTGCTGCAGCCCTGTCTTCCTACACGGTGAAGCCCACCGAGGAAGACCTTTTCTTTTTAGGAGGGTGATACGTTTGTGTGTTAGGGAAGTAAGAGATCAGCCTTGGGTGTTAAATTCCTTCCCTTGGGGAAATGTAAAGGACATTTGCCCTTCCTGTGCTCCTACCAACAAACCAATGTCAATGTCCACTGACACTCACTCCAGGGAACTGTTGAGTTTGTTATGGTTACTGGTGCCGTGGGTGCGGGCTTACTGATAGGGGTATGGGTGATGACTCCCCTGTGGTTGTGGATAGAGTTCCCACCCCTTATAATTCCCTACTTAAAGCATCTGCAAGGCCATGTGCAATTAGGGCAGAATTGCATACTTCAGCTGGTTGGAAGGGCTGACTGAATACTCCCTGAGGATCCCTTCACCTCCCTGTCTCTTCCTTCCAAGAGAGACCAGCCCAGCTGTGATGATCTTTGGTGTGCAGGCCCAGCTGAACTGAGAGTGACAGCAGTCAGGCTGGGAGGGTAGTACTGTATAACGTGTTACACAAGAGTTTGCTACTTTGTTTTCTGAGACAGGATTTTATTGGTGCCTAAGACTTTCCAATTAAATTGAGGCCAAGGGAAGGGTACCTTTTCTTAACATGCTGATTTTGAGTTTCATACATGATATATGGTCTTGATATGTAATAAATGTTGCTTATGGATATGAACTCTTTTATGATACTAAGAAATGTGATGTTTAGATGACATGAATTGTTTCTCTTGCAAGTATTAGTCATTCTTTCATTCTGAATTGAGATTGGATGGCTTCGGTCTAGAGCCCCCCCTTTTTTTAAAGTGTATGTGTTTTGCCTGCATGTTTGCATGCATACCATGTGTGTACCTACTTCCCACAGAAGCCAGAAGAGAGCATTGGGTCCTCTGAAACTATCACAAGGCAATTGTGAGCTACCATGTGGATGCTGGAAACCAAACCTAGGTCCTCTGGAAGTGTTCTTACCTGCCAAGCTGTTTTTTTCAGCCCCTCGAGCTCAGTTTTTGGTAGTTGAAAGCCTGCCTGAGTATCTACAGCCCTGTTGCAAGCTGTGGTGGTGATCTGACCTTGGCTAGACTCCTGCCTTTTCTCCATTGGTAAAATTTAGGGTTCTGTACAGGTGACAACAGCCTGTCTTTGCTTTCGGGACCTGTCAGGTGTCATTGCTGATGACTTAAAGAAAGAACTAGGAGGTCCATTTCCTGCTGGGCAGTCTTGTGTGCAAAAACGTGACTCTTGCTCATTGACTCTGATACCCCACCTTTTCCTCAGGTCTCGATCCAGCTCAACTTCCAGCTCGGGCTCCAGCACCAGCACAGGTTCAAGCAGTGGCTCTAGCTCCTCCTCTGCGTCCAGCCGCTCTGGGAGCTCCAGCACATCCCGGAGCTCCAGCTCTAGCAGCTCCTCCGGCTCCCCCAGCCCTTCCCGGCGCAGGCATGACAACAGGCGGCGATCCCGCTCCAAGTGAGTGCACGGTGGCTAGTCCGCTCGTTGCCATGGCTATAAGAAAAGTAGATCAGGACTGACAAGATTCCTCAGCAATAAAGGATTTTGCTGCCAAGCTTATGACAATATGAGTTCAATCTCCAGGATCCACATGGTGTTGTGTGGTAACTCCCACAAGTTGCCCTCTGACCTCCACATATGTATGCACTATAACACAAAAGTACATATTTTTTTTAATAGTTTGTTTTTTATTTGCAATGGTGTTTTGCCCGCGTGCATGTCTATGTGAAGGTGTGGGGTCCTCTGGAACAGGAGTTACAGATAGTTGTGAGCTGCCATGTGGGTGCTGGGAACTGAAAAATTGAACCCCGGTCCTCTGGAAGAGCAGTCAGCGCTCTTAACCGCTGAGCCATCTCTCCAGCCCATGATTGGTTGATTATTTGTTTATTTATTTATTTATTTAAAGTATGTCATGGGAAAGTGGTGGTGCATGCCTTAATCCCAGCTCTCAGGATGGTCTACAAGTTATCCTCTAACCTCCACACGTGTTGCCCTGGCACTTGTCCACACAGAATAAAAGAGGGGGGGGGTCCTTAATTTGAAGGGTTTCTAAATCAAGGATAACGTTTTAGTCGGTGTTCCTTTGCTGTGAAAAGACACATGGCCAAGGCAGCTCTTACAAAGGAAAGCATTTAATTGGAGCTGGTTTACGGTTTCAGAGGTTTAGTCCATTATCCTCATGTGGTGGGGAATATGGTGGCATGCATGCAGACATGGTGACAGTTCTACATCTGGATGTGAAGGCAGCAGAAGAGATAGACACTAAGCCTGGCTTGGGTTTTTGAAACCTCTAAGCTCACCTCCAGGACTCCAACAAGACCATACCTCCAAATCCTTTCAAATAGTGCTATTCCCTAATGAGTAAGCATTCAAATGTATGAGCCTATGGGTCCATTCTCATTCAAGCCACCATAGGTAATACAAGTGAATTGGTAAGAACTCTTCCAGACAGCTGTTCAAGCTAAGTAGAAATGTCAACACTGTTGCTGAGACAGGCTCTCAATAGGCAGTGCAGGTTGGCTTTGAACTTCTAGTATTCCTCCTGCCATGGCTTCCTGGGTGCTGGGGTTTTAGGCAGATACCACCACACCCAGCTGATACTTTTCTTTCTTTTTCCTTGTTGGGACCAAATCTGAGACCTTGCCCTGAACTTTATCATTAAACCCACTGTGGTTGGTAGAAACTGAATTTCTGGGTGTTTTGTATTTTCAGATCCAAACCACCTAAAAGAGATGAAAAAGAGAGGAAAAGGCGGAGCCCTTCACCTAAGCCCACCAAAGTGCACATTGGGAGGCTCACCAGGAATGTGACCAAGGTACGAGTCACTGATCCATGAAGGCTGGACCAAGCTAGTGTCTGGTATCAGGTGCACCTAGAATGTAATCCATGACTTGATTGGAACGCTGCTTAATACTTTTTATTGAACTTAATTTATTACATTTATATCCGGGAGACTTCTACCCCAGTGACACATCTTGTCATGTGGCAGAATGTTTTCACACTAGTGGTGATTTACTCAGCATTTAGTTAATTCCCTTTGACCATTAAGTAATAGATAGGTAAACAAGGATGTGACTTTTCTCTCTGTAGGATCATATCATGGAAATATTTTCTACTTATGGGAAAATTAAAATGATTGACATGCCTGTAGAAAGGATGCATCCTCATCTATCCAAAGGCTACGCATATGTAGAGTTTGAGAATCCAGATGAAGCGGAGAAGGCGCTGAAACACATGGATGGAGGTGAGTGATCCTGTGGCCAGCCACCCTCAGCCCTGTCACCTCTGTCCTCACAGAGACCAGTTGTTTGTGGGATCATTGGAGTAGGCTTCCAACTCAGGTGCTTTTGAGTCTCAGTGGAGCCCTATTGTGTAATCTTTTTGGCTTTTGTGGGGCTCACTACCCAGCTCCCAAATAAATCACACACGGAGGCTTATTCGTAGTTATGAATCCCTGGCCCTAGCTTGGCTTGTTTCTTGCCATCTACCTTTTGCCTCTGGCCTTTTGCCTTTCTCTTCTGTATAACTTTCTTTTCTTTTTTAAGCACATTGGTGTGACAATGTTAGATTCCTGATCCATATTGAGTTACAGACAGTTATCAGCTGCCATGTGGGTGCTGGGAGTGTTTGAACCCGGGTCCTCTGGAAAGGCAGCCAGTGCTCTTAACCGTTGAGCCATCTCTCCAGTCCTCCCCAACCCCACCCCCAGGGTTTTTCTGTGGCTTTGGAGCCTGTCCTGGAACTAGCTCTTGTAGACCAGGCTGGCCTCGAACTCACAGAGATCCACTTGCCTCTGCCTCCCCAGTGCTGGGATTAAAGGCGTGCACCACCATCGCCCAGCATTTTACTTTCACTCTTACTCCATGACTGGCTAGGTAAGCTAGGTAACTGGCCACTGATGTCCTCCTTCCATTGTTCTCTTGCTCCTCCTTCCTCGTTTCTCCTATTTACCCTCTCTGCCTGCCAGCCCTGCCTGTCCTTGCTCCTGCTTCACTATTGGCCGTTCAGCTCTTTATTACACCATAAAGTGTTTTAGACTTAGACAGGCAAAGAATCAGAGCTTCGCAGAGTTAACAAATACAGCATAAACAAAAGTAACATACCTGGAAAACAGTATTCTACAACAGAGCCCTTTGTGGATTCTGATTCTTATTCGGTGGGGTATACTTACCAAGAATGTGTTTTCTGAAGCACTAGTTATCCCTGTAAAGAAAAGATCAGCAAATATGAATACATTACTAGCATTTTAAGAATTTTTCAATCTGTTAGAAACCTGTGGATCAATTGAAACTTTTTTTTTAACAAAGAATTATTTGGCTTTTACATGGGAATATTTTTCTTTAATTGTTTTGAGAATCTTTTTCTATTTTACCAACATTTCAGCATTTTTAGGATTGCTTTAGTACATGCTACATAAACTGAATTCACACAGTATATCTATCTTTAAGACTTTTTTAACTGCGTTGCTGGAGTGGGCTTTTTGTTTTGTCTTTGTTTGGTTTGGTTTGTGGGTTTTTTGTTTTATTTTGTTGGGATCAGGGTGGGGCATGGTTAGAGACAGGGCTCTGTGTAGCCCTGGCTGTCTTGGAACTCACTCTGTTTACCAGGCTGGTCTTGAGCTCACCGAGGTCCTCCTGCCTCTGCCTCCGCCTCCCAGGTGCTGGGATTAAAGGTGTGCACCACCACTGCCTAGCCAGGTGGAGTGTTGCTTAGTGATAGTTTTTGATGGTCAATTTTAACTTCAGATCAGTGTTTCAGAGAATACAGCGTTTGTGTCTCGCTCTAGCATATGGACAGCTACAGAGACTGAGAACTGGCAGCTCACAGTACCCTCTGGGCCGTTAACCTGTGTTGGGGGAACCTTAAAGTCCTCAGATGCCTGTTAAGCTTTACAAATATCTAAACGTTTTAGTTGGAGTTTTGTTGTTGCCTTTCTGTATGGATTTTCTTAGATATTTAGCTACTTCTTTTAATTCCCACAAGTGTTTCAAGAGTTCAGCATAAGCTACCTGTGTTGTTCATATCAGCTCAGGTCCTATAAGTGACACCTTCACTTTGAAAGTACTTGTCTGGTATTGCCAGAGTGTGCATTTGCTGATCAGTTAAAAATCCAGACAGGCTCCAGAGCTACAGAGAAACCCTGTCTCAAAAAACGGGGGCAGGGGGGGGCATTAAGGGAAATTAGAGTGGCCTTTGCTGGCAGTTGGGTAGTTGATGTCTTATCTGTTGTTCAGTTAATGCAATGACATTCTTCATTGGTACTGGTTAGACTGGGTTTTGTCATGAGGGTGCCTGAATTAGCCTCTGGGTATTGGCAGGCAGGAGCTTTGTCGACACCGAGGCTAGGTTTGGGCTCTAGGGACCTTAGATGTGGAGACGCTCTGTAGCTGTCAGGTGTCCCTAGGTTTGCACCTTGGTGCTCTGCTTTTCTCTCTCTGAGACCCTGTATGTTCCTGAGGTTTGTGTCCAGCAGTGCATCCTCTCTGCTTTTGAAATCATCCCTAAATTTTTCTTTGTCTTTCCTTTTATTTGGAAATTAGTTCATGTAGATAGCTGCAGAACTCTCAAACAAGTGTCCCTTTTTTTCCTCCTTTCTTTCCCCAGCCTGAGCTTCCCACTTAAGGAAGTTCAGGGCCAGGTGTGCCTTTAATCCCAGCGACTGGGAGGCAGAAGCAAGTGGATTTGTGAGTTTGAGGTTGGTCTGGTCTACCTAGTGAGTTCCAGGACAGCCAGGGCTATGTAGTGAGCCCCTGTCTGAAAAAGGAAGCTCAGCTACTGGTGGCACCTTCTTGCCCCTGCCAAGAGCCTCCATTCTGTTCTTAAGCCCTGAGCTATCTTGTCACTTGTTCCACAGCTGGTCATTCTGTGTCTTCTACCTAACAGGTTTCAACACATTTTCAGAATTGTGTGTGGGTTGTCTGTCTTCAGGGAAGTTGTTCTGATGCCTCAGTGTCTTAAATCTCATCCCTATGGTAGCTTTTCCTGGTGTTCCTGGTGTTATTTTATGATTGTTTACTTTAGTATACTGAGCACCTAGATTGGTGCTTGCCTGAGGTTAGGTAGGGTTTTGTTTTGTATTTGAGACAGGGTCTCCCTATGTACCCCTGTCTGGTCTTAACTGGGTCGGGACCTTTCTGTGTAGACAAGGCTGGCTACAAATTCTCGAGACCTACCTGTTCTGTCTCTGCTTCTCCAATGCTGGGATTAATTTTGATATTTTTGTTTGATTTGCCTTTGAGGCAGTATATGTGTGTATATATCACTATGTTGCTGAGGTTAACTAAGGGTGCTCCGCCTACTTCCACCTTCTGAGTGCTGAGATTCCAGGCATGTGTGACCACATCACAGGTATGAGTATGGTTAGAGATCTTATGGTTTTGTCCCTTTTTTCTGCAGGACAAATTGATGGCCAAGAGATCACTGCTACTGCTGTGTTGGCACCCTGGCCTCGGCCACCCCCACGGCGATTCAGCCCACCCAGGAGAATGCTTCCACCGCCTCCCATGTGGCGCAGGTCACCCCCACGGATGAGGAGGAGGTGAATTAATTAAAATTGCCCTTGACCCATCTGGCTTTTTTTTTTTTTAATGTGATTTATAAACCCAAATGGCTGTGGCAACTCTGGGCTCCTTCACTGTTGCCCATTTGTGGTTGAATACAGAAAGAAGGTCAGCATATTGCCCTTGGGTACTGGTCAGAGAAAGGACAGTCAAAGTATGTGTATTGACAGGCGCAGATGAGGCCCTTCCAAGGAACCACCTATAGAGTCTAAGCTAGCATGGGTCTTATGAAACCCAGTACAAGCTTTCCACTCTGGGTGAGGGGCCTGCTTGGCATGGTGGCACATGCCTTTCTTTAATCCCAGCACTGGGGAGGTAGAGGCAGGTGGATCTGAGTTCGAGGACAGCCTGGTCAACACAGTGAAACCCTGACTGGAAAAACCAGAAAGAAAGACTACAGGAGGGGTTAAGAGAGGAGCCTTGGGGTCAGACAGCAGAAGCCACACTTCATAGGGTTGTAAAATTAGAGTTGTCTTAGAAAGGGCCAGTTTGCCTATACAGCTGTGCTTTTTTGAGCTTTTTGCTTTTGGCTGACCAGGTTTCTCTTCCTGCAGGTCTCGCTCTCCAAGGCGCAGGTCCCCTGTGCGTAGGAGGTCTCGATCTCCCGGCCGCCGCCGCCATAGAAGCCGCTCCAGCTCTAACTCCTCCCGATAAATAGGGACGTTGATTCGTACCTCTGTAACTTATGTTCCCCCAACTCAGTTTTGTCCTTTCTTTAGCCAACGAGGGTCTGTGGGGAAGGATCCCCTAACGGGGTGGGCTTTGAAGACAGCAGTTGAGATATTTCCTCTGCAGGATTCTGGCTGCAGAGGTACTGTTGATTCAGGACTGTGCCCATAAAGGTGCCCTGTAGTTTTCTGGCTAGAAAGTTCACCCTTCCCATTCTTGAGAGTCTGGTTTATAGCAGAGCCAGGTGGGACGAACAAGCCTCCATATTGCAACACACCATTTTCCACAGATGACCTAAGACCTGGGCAACCTGGCCGTACCCTTGCTGTTGCTGTACCACATCTGCGGAAAGGGGACCAAGCTGCTGTGCTGTTAGGCCTGACCACGTCCCCTTTGGAGTCCTCGTCAACTTCTAGGGTTAAACACCTTTATCTTTCCCTGCCCCCAGGTCTCTGTTATTCTCTGAAATTGGTGAGCCAGTTCTACAGGGTCCTCAAGGAACCTGCCACCACACTCATCCATTGTCACCTGCCATTCACGGGGATGTTGCAGGTTAACCTTGGCAGTGTATACATTGCCTCTTTTTGCTTTTATTGTACAGTCAGTACTATAAATTTTGTTTTGAGTTTTATGACTTTGTAGTATTTTAGATAAGGTCGTTTGTACTTGTGTAGAGTGAGAGGACTGTTGAATAAACCTTGGACTAGATGCAAACTGAGTGCTGGTGTTGCTGCCTCCTTCTTAGTCCAGGACAGTCAAGATGTGTGTCCACCCAACTAAGAACTCACCTTGGGCTTAGTTCCCAAAGTGGCATTTCTAAAAGCTCTCAGCCAGGGGGACTCTGGTTTTGTGTTTGGAGTGAGGCTGCTGCTGCTGTGTTGTGAAGATATGGGAATAATTTCCTGTCTCCTACTGGTCCTGAGCTGGTGGTGTGGCCCACTTTCCGATTATCCATCCCCAACCCCAGCACCACAGAAAAGTCTATACCAGAAGGAAGACTTAGAAACGTTTAAAGCAGGAGTAAACATTGGGTTGCCCTCGCTCAGTGCATATGCCACACAGGTGGCCTTTCAGTATTGACACAAACAAAAATAAACTTGGAGGTCTTGGAATTTGCTCTGTAGACCAGACTGGCTCCCAGAGGTCTTCCTGCCTCTGGGATTAAAGGCTTGAGCCACACCACCCAGCCCAAAAACACACTTGTGAGGGTATGTTTTAAACCCACGGTGACAGCCTTCCGTGTTAGCCAGGCAAATCTGTTCACCACCCTGCAACCATTCTGCCAGCCTTAGTTTATGTTCCTAATCCCAGCTCCTTTGGAAGGGGTGAGATCTGGCCCCCTTCCCTCCAGCCGGCAGCTGGCAGGAACCTTTGGTAAATGCTCCCGAATCTCCGGGCACCTCCCTCCCCGTGCCCGACCCTTGACACGAGCTCGTTCTTTACCTGGTGCTGCCAGCTGCTCTGGTGGTGGGGGCTCACCCAGAACTAGTTACTGACTCAGAAGGCTGGCCGCGCCCAGTCCTCCGGAGGCTGCGGAGTGCCCGGCAGCCCCTGACCTTGGGGGAGGGACGAGGAGGGCCGGTCCAAGAGGAGGAGTCTGCAGCGCCCGGCTGCTGGCGGCTTCGCTGGGTCGCTGCCTACAGCCAAGATGGCGCTGGCTGCTGCGAGACGCGTTCTGCTGCACGCCGGTGCGTGGTCAGGGAGGGGGAGCCGGTGCACGGCCCCGGAGCGGGCTGGGTTCGTGGGCGGTGGTGGCGAGAGGCTGGCAAGCTTGCTAACGGTGCTCCGGGCTGTTCATAGGATCCCGCCTCGGGCGCAGGGAGGCCTTGGACGGCGCGCGGCGCTTCGCTAACAAGCGGGTGCTGGTGGAGACGGAGGACAAGGCAGGTGAGTGACGGGGTGGGGACCGCGCGCCCTCCCGCTCAGAAGCCCCAAGGCTACACCTTCGGTGTGAAGTCAAGTGTTGAGCACTTTGAATTTCCAAAAGCAATGAGAAAAAAACTCATGTAAACTCATTTTCAGTTTAAAACTTAATATCACACAGAGTGGTTTGAATGACAAAACGTGTGAATTTTCAAGTTTTTGTTTTATTTCCAGACAGGGTTTCTCTGTAACTTTGGAGCCTGTCCTGGAACTAGCTCTTGTAGACTAGACTGGCCTCGAACTCACAAAGATCCGCCTACCTCTGCCTCCCGAGTGCTGGGATTATAGGCGTACACTACCACTGCACAAGGGTTGTTTTGTTTTTTAAGACAGGATTGCTCTGTGTAGCCCTGGTTGTCCAAGATCTCATTTTGTAGACCAGGTTGGCCTTAAACTCAGAGAGCTGCCTGCCTCTGCCTCTGCCTCCCGAGTGCTGGGATTAAAGGCGTGTGCCACACCACTGCCCGGCTTAGCTTTTAAAGTTTTGGTTAAAGTTTTTAAAGTTATGGTCTATTACCTAAACTATTAGTTAAAAACAGTTGTAGGGGGCTGGAGAAATAGCTCAAAGGTTAAGAGCACTGGCTATCCTTCCAGAGGACCCAGGTTCAATTCCCAACACCCACATGACAGTTCACAACTGTCTGTAAGTCCAGTTCCTTGGGATCTGACACCTTCACACCAAATGCACATAAAATAAAATTAATTATTTAAAAACAAACAAAAAATGATTGTAGCCTGCTTTATGGCTCATGCTTGTAAATCCTACTGAAGCTAAGTGTCTCAAAAATCCTACATGGGGGGGGGGGCTGGAGAGATGACTCAGAGGTTAAGAGCAGTGCCTCCTATTCCAAAGGTCCTGAGTTCAATTCCCAGCAACCACATGGTGGCTCACAACCATCTGTAATGGGGTCTGGTACCCTCTTCTGGCCTGCATGCATACACACAGACAGAATATTGTATACATAATAAATAAATATTAAAAAAAAAGAAAGCATCATTCCAGCTTCTATGGGTCTTCTCCCTCACCCTCTCCATCCTTCTCCCCTTACCCCCTCCCTCTCTCCTTTTAAAAAAAAAATCCTACATGGGGCCTGGAGAGATAATGGCTAAGCAGTTAAGAGATCCCAGGTTCAATTCCCAGCACCCACAGAGCAGCCCACAACTGTCTTTCAGTTCTAGGGGATCTGTTACCTTCCCACCAATGCACATAAAGTGAAATAAATTATAAAAAAAGAAGAAAAGGAAGAAGAAGAAAAGAAAGAAAATGTACCAATGTGCTACTCCTAAAAACCAACATGAAAAATGATTGGAATAGTTTCCAAACACTGGCTCATGGCACAGACCCCAGCAACTATTTTCCTAGTTAAAGTTGGAAGCTGCAAGTAGGGTCACTCCCTGCCCCCACCCCATCCGAGTGCCTGGGAAACCCTTCAAAAGGCTGAAGCAGGAGGATGGTGAAGTTGAGGTCAGCCTGGGCTACATATAGTGCCTGTTTTTCCTGGGGTTTTGTTTTAAAGTGAGGACGTGAAGCACAATTAATAAAAAACCAGAAACATTGGGATTCAGCCTGAAGACCAGAAAAGCAAAGCAGCCAGCCACTGGCTCTTACCTCGACCTCAGTCTGAAAATGGTGACCCTGCCTTCAGGAAACCTCAGAATGAGACTGAGTTGCCTCTTCCCTTAGAATCCTCTCAAAGGCTGGGATTAAGGGCGCGTACCACTACCACCCAGTTTTTATGGCAAGCTAGTGTGGCTACAGGGGTTAAAGGTGTATGTCATTGCTGCCTGGTCTGTAAGGCTGACCAGTGTGGGTGTTTTACTTTTCTGATCCTCAGGCAAGCTTCATTTATTAAAATACAAATGAAATGCTACTCTAAGGATGCAGGGAGAAAAAAGGTGGGATTTTTCCGGGTCAGGTAGACAGTGAGTTTCTGGAAGAAAAGCTTAGGAAACTGAACACAGCTGGACACAGAGCTTAGGATCCCATGCTGACCCTGACCCTGGCCTCTCAACACAAAGTATTGACACCTGTAGAGGAAGGAAGCCTCCCACGGAGACTCTCAGGTCAAGGTCTGGGTTCCCGTGTGATGGTGCTGCTGGCATGGAGTGAGGAGGGGCTGGGGCTCAGCCTGATGAGTCCAACAGTAGTCGGTGCAGATCTTGAAAGAATCGGTTTTGTGACAGATCTTTACGTCTCTCAGATGCCCTAGAAACACACATTTTAAAATATTAGAGGGCTGGAGAGGTGCTATTTCCCTAGCATTTGCCAGGCCTTGGGTGTAATAACAGTACCAAAAAAATAAATAAACAAATAGATAAATAAAAATATCAGAATGGGTAGAGTAACAACTCTATACCATGCTAAAGCCACTGGATTATACACTTAGAGATGGCTAGACAGTTGGGCTTAATAACATGTATTTTATCACGATTTTAGCATATGTGAGTAGCATATGTATGTGTGTATGTGTGTGCGCATATATGTGTGTGTGTTTGTGTATATCTCTTGTAAAAAAGGTAAAATAGCAACTGGTTTTATTTTATTTATTTTGGTTTTATTTATTTTTTTTTTATTTTGGTTTTAAAAATAGAGTGTTACCTCCAGTTCAAGGGCAAAATAGAAAAGCCCATATGTCCCTTTAGTTTATGAGTTTTTGTTTTTTTTCTTGTTTGAGACGGATTTCATTTATTCCACCCTGGCCCCGAACTCATTGTGTAACTGTGTCACTGAGACTGACCTTGAACCTAACCCATTTGCCTCTGCCTCCCAAGTTCTGGGATCACAAATGTTTGCACATTTTTTTAACAATTTATTTTATGTATATAGGTTTCTTTTCTTTTCTTTTTTTAACCTGCCTGTAGTTTGTACAGTACTGTGAAAGCCAAAAAAGCTGTTAAATCCCCTGGAACTGAAGTTAGAGACAGTTGTGAGCTGCCAGGTGGCTGCTGGGACTCAAACCCAGGTACTCTAGAAAAGCAGCCAGTATTATTTTGCGGGGTAGTGGGGGGGGGGTGTTTCAAGATAAGGTCTCTCTGTAGGATTTCTTTGTGTAGTCCTGGCTGTCCTGGAACTTGCTCTGCAGACCAGGCTGGCCTCGAACTCACAGAGATCCACCTGCCCCTGCCTTCCTAGTGCTGGGATTAAATGCTCAGACTGACCCCTCAGCCGTCCGGCTAGCCCCTCTCATTACACTTTTAGCCACCAGTACAGAAACCCTGGGTGTGAACTTTGCTGGCACAGAAAGGAGCTTCTTCCAGAGTGGATGCAGGGTCTGTCTGGCAAAGGTTCATGTGACAAGTGTCCATGTGAAAATGGATTCTCCGATCTGTTTCATGCTTCTCCAGTGTTGCTGGCAGGCACTTCTGATTAGCATACTTCTCAAATCAATTGTGCCAAAAATCAGGGGCAATTATGTTTCATTTTAGATTCTGCTGAACTCGTCATTCACGAAGATTGTATCTAATACTCACCCTGCTCTGGGAGCTTGGTGGCTGCCTTCACCTAAACTCTCTCCATTAGCTCGTCTTCACCTTTTGCCTTGTTACCTTTCCCCTAGTGCCCACTGCCATACTGGGCTTTTCAGATATGTTCCTCCCAACTAAGTCTGGAGTGTTTGTTTTATATAGGCCTGTAACTGGGTCACAGTTGCCTCTTCCACTTAAGTCAAAGGTCTTAAAAGAACCCACTTGGCACCAGGACTTTGCCCTCATTCTCAGAGAAGGGTCTTCATTGACACCTGGACACTCAGATCCTCAGCTGGAAATGCCTCTTGATTATTTTGCAAATTCTGTAGGCAAGTAGTTAGTGACTGCAATGCTCCAGGAGATAGGACCGTGTTTTTTCTTTCATGCTGCAAACAGAACCACTGGGTACCGAGGATAGCGGAGGGCAGGCAGCATTCGCCGTATCCGCTACAGAAGTGTGAGCTGGGCTCCGCTAGAAGCCCTTGTGCGCCTGGTTCTGAGATGTTCCCTCTTCCTCTGAAGACTTGGCTTGCCTGTACAGAGTGATAAATTCAAATCAGAGAAAACGGAAGAACAATCAGTAGAACTCTGCCCACTGTCCTCGTTCAGGGCGCCAAAGTCTGGCACAGAGCCAGCTCTGCTGTCAACTCCTCGGTGTCCTTGAGACTCGGCGCCTAGGGCAGTCTGCTCAGAGTGCAGCTGAGGAACAGCTTGTGTCCTCAGGTTTTGGCGTACCAAGGGAACCCTTTCCTTCTAACTAAAATAGGTTTCTTGCCAGAACAGCATCCACCTCCAGCCTTCAAAATCAGATAGCCATCTGGTGCGGATACTGGAAAGATGGGGACATTCAGGGCCCCAGGGCAGGACTGCTGGGCTTCTGTCTGAAAGTGTAGGTTTCTAATCATGGCAGTCTGAGTGGACACAGAAACAGCATACTAATGATATAGATGACGGCGGCCATATTTCTAAAGAGCAGAAGTCCAAAACCAGGGGCGGGAAGGACTGCAATCCTCTGAAGCTCCAGGCGGGAGTCTCCCCTGCATCTTCTGGCTTTGGTCCTACCTCATCCTGTGATGTCCTTTGGCTTGTGGGCAACTCCTTTTATTCTGTTTCTTTTACATGTGTGTATGGTGTGTATGTGTGTGAATGAGGGTGCAGATGTGT